TATTTCTAATATTATTATTTATTTTTATATTATAATTGTTATTTTTTATATAGAATCAATTAACTTGATATTAAATAATTCTGATTAAGAAATCATGGTGATTTTTGTTGACATCCTGATTGATGTTCCTAGTTGATGTTCCTAGTTACTTTTAACATTCGATCGTCGAATGCTTGTAAACGAAAGTTACTCTAACCTTAAATGTCTCATAATTAGGAGAGTTACCTTATTGAAATTACATCTTTGATTTATTTTTATTTATTATTCTTTAGATATCACGGGATATAATATCGTTTATTCAAGGATATATTTGTGAACGCGAGTAAACTCACTTGATACAGATTGAGGCTCAAGGAACTCACTAAAGTAAGTACCATAAAAAAAAAGGTATATTCAAAAGTTCCGACAAAATATTCGGTATACCTTCAAAAAATAGAAAAACATGATGACATATATTACTTTTAATTATTAACAATAAAACACCAACTTGATCGCTTTCCGATGAACGTCCACAGCAAAAATTATGCCATTGGATTGCTGTTTCTCCCAGCCAACTTTCTGTTGAAAATTGTTATCTATTGCTCGTTCCATGCGGTAACTAAATATTTTATCGTTATAGTTTGGTTTACCGAAACTTTTACAGGTGAAAGTCTATTTTCTATTTAAATAGAAGAGAATACGTATACATTTTCACATTGCTCTAACCATTTCTTACCTAGCGATGCTAAACATTGCACAAATATATTCGATAAATACAAGAAATGTTGTTCCAGTACCGAGCGTCGTAAATACTCCCACACAAAAGGCTGCAAACATGTGCAGCGGAATTAAATAGTTATATTTTTCTGAATTGATAAAGTATTCAGTCGCGATCCGCTCCTTGTAACGTCGATGGGTCTCATTTCTAACAGAAAAGACGTGGTAGAACCGCGGCCAGATTGGTTGAGCAGTAATAAGGAACATGCTACCAAGCACTAAGAATATTTAAAAAGGCAGTTATATAATCTGTAACATTTTACGACTTAAAGAAATACTGAATTGTTGAATATTCTAAATTTAATCATCTTCTTATTATTTCACTGTTTTGTATTTGTGCGTGAAAGTAATTGTATAATTTCAAGTCTTTTTATTATTTGAATTTTCAAACGATTAACAAGTTTTGACCAATCGATCTTACATGTAATTCCGCTCGTGTAACGTTTTGCCTTGAACACATATTTTTTAATAATGGCAATTTCGTTCTCGTCTTTTAGCTCTTTGTAATCATGCCAGAGTTGCTCAAATAATCGTATAATCTGTCGTACGAACAGTATTTTATGTTTTTTCTTACTCCCACTTTTTTGAAATTATCACGGTAAGCAATGATTTGTTTAATAAGAATGTTTATTTATACGGTAAGCAGCGATTTGTTTAATAAGGATGTCTATTTATACGAATATAGAGAACCACTTACATGTTGAGCGTTAATGTGAAATGAATTATATAATATCAAGTAGCATATAAAAATTAATGCAACAGAGAAGACTTTGATGACAAAGCTGGGAGTACAATCTGTCGTCACTAATACTGTTAACTACAAATAATAAATTTGCTAGGTAGTAAAAAACGTCCGGTAATCATTCTGGTTGTGCTCAGGACATCTTAGAATACGTCCCAGGATATTTCGAACATATTCGAGGTGATTCTGAAAAGTATCTTGTGCTATTTGAGTTATTAAAGAAAGCTCTTGCAAAATTGAAGTTATGGGTCTTGATTCGAGTAACAAAGTTGTTATATGGATTTGCTCTAATATAATTACTTATTCTTCATGCATTATATAAGATAATTTGTGTTTCTTTTTACATTGAAAAAATAAGACCGAAACATCTGTAAATGCAACCTTGTTTTAAATGCAATTTTTATAAACTCTACATGTTGGAAATTTTTTTTTTGCGCACTTACTTCCAGCGCTCAGCTTTTATAGGCTTGTTTATCTAATTTTGATTTTTATTCTAAAATCGTAATTTGTTTATTTAACATGTTATTTATTAACATTTTTAAAGTTTTACCTGTGCCAGAAGAAAGCTCGTCAATATACCAGCACATAAGACATTTAGAAGTCGTGCGACTTTCCTTCCCTGGTAAGGCCATAAGCCAACTACGATTAAAAGAATCCGATTGATTCTTAAGTCCTTATGCCAAGAGATCATTGTTCTATGAGCACCGGGACACATTTAAACGCGCAGATGCCGGCCAATATTTGCTTATTTTCTCCCCTTTATAGTAACCTATAAAACATGCAATTGTTTTTCTTCTCTCGTGTATATAACGAAAATTGTTCAGTTTTATCCCACGTAGAATTATGCAAAATGTCATTGTGAAGTCGGAGGATATTCGCTATCGAACAATTTCGGCAAAACGATAATTATACAATAACATTAATGCCGGAGGTACTTCGACGAACGTTTCTTTTTCCTGAAATGACACGCATAAGATAATTTTGTGATCGTTGCCTTCGCGCAAGCGTGGTTGTCTCTTTTTTCGGCTCCGTTGTTTCACGTGCTTCATTGTAGTGTGTACAGTCGTACGTGACGCACGTTCAAATATTCCGGGAAAAGTTGGTCGGCCTTCCTTGCTATCTGCCTCGTATCACCTGTGAAATCATCGCTAAAGTATATTGTATCATATGTTACAACGAAGCTTTACCAATTTCTGAAGGCAAACTTGACTTGATTCAAGATTTGATGATATTTGGTTAGACATATTATTTCTTTGCAACGTCATATTTATTATAATATGTTTATTGAATATCGTATATTAAAGTATAAAAATTAGTTTTTAGTATTATTTAAAATAAAACGTGACGTATATAATATGTTTATTGGATATCGTATATTAAAATATAAATATTAGTTTTTAGTATTATTTAAAATAAAACGTGACGTCGCGGTTCGACACAGAACTGCAAAGGGTTGAAGCACAAATATGTCCAGACTTAGAGGTAGAGATACACTGATTGACAGTTTAGGATACATTTCTCTTTTAAGCTATCTTTGGATGCAAAACTGCAATCTGAATATTGTGACTATTAGTTGGGGTTTACTGGGCCGATTTTAAACATTCCGTATAAAAGAAGCGTTATTCCAGTTCCGAATGACGTAACTCTATCTTTATATACTCTATATAAACGGCAACGAACATGTGCAGCATAATGAAGTATATACACTTTTCTGAATTGACAAAGTATTCGTTTGCATCAAACCTCGTGCGATATGGACTTCTAATATGGACGTGTCTCCTTTAGTAATATTAAGATGGAGGTTACATCAGAGACCACAGTTGCAGAATCAGGGAACCTACGTAACCGATTACTAAGAATATTTAGAAAGACAATAAATTATACTGTTGTTAAAGTCGTGTTGTTAAAGACGAGTATGAAATCATACGATTTGAGTTAAGTATAATTTATATTATTGACCAGAAACTCATGTGCACACTTTGTTCAAATCATGTGTTATTCAGTCGAAGACCTATGAAATAGGTTACAAATGCAATTAATTTTATTCTTTTTCTTCTTTTATCGTGAACAGTGCTAAGATCTTTTATAGAAACAGGTATATTATAATTGGTGACTTTTCGTCCTAAGTTAAATAAATGTGAGACATTTTTTTACGCTTTGCTATTATATTCCGATGTGATGCTATGCGATAGATCATTGCTTTTTTGTTGCGTGGAACACAAGACGGTGAAATAAGACATAGCTGTACTCATCATCTGTAAGAATAAATTTTTTGTGTCATATTGTTTTAGGTATAATGCAATGTTGAACATATCCTAATAAACGATTTATTTTTTACCGAGGCGAAGGACTCTAGAGACGCTATAAATAGACCACTAATATTCATGGTAAGAAGTTTAGAGCCTTTTTGTAATAGCAGCAGTATTATTTTTTGTACATGTAACGGTGCTATGTACCAACGAATATTGTATCTATGAAAATATGATTAAGATAGAGATTGATAATTTTATTAATAAATTTATAAAATTGATAAAAAGTTGAACGAATTGAATTGATTAATAAGATTGCCGTTAACGGAAGAATATTAATTAAAAATATTAATTAACCACGTCAATTTTTCTTTTTTTATTTTTATTCTGATTATACGTGTAAAAATATTTATTTTATTCTGATTATACGTGTAAAAATATTTATTTTATTCTGATTATACGTGTAAAAATATATAAAAACGAGCATCATGTAAAATCTCTTACGCAGTGAGGAACACATGATTATTGTGATCTATAACTTCTTGTCCCATGTAGTTAACTAGGAACATGAGTATAAGAATGCAAGCCGCGTACGCAAGATATAACAAGAATCCGGCGACATCGTACTTGGAGGAGAATATCTGAAATAACTACGTTACGGCTGTGGTAAATTTGTTAGAAGAATGTATTTCAGATATATCTGTTTTACGAAAACAAATTTTATAGAAAAATTTTTTGGTATAAAATAAAATACATAAAATAAATAAAAAAAATACATTTTGCATTAAATATCTTATTTTAATTAAACGAACGAATTAGGAATTAATATGATGTGAAGTTGTATTCTTCGATAATTCACATTACATATTTGATGTTAGTGAATCTATCTATTTCTAAATTTATTGTAAGTTTGACGCTATGACATATGATAATATCCGCGTTCAAAATTACGCTTATAAACATGAAACTTTTATAATTCGACTTACTCGATAAAGACTGAAGCTTAAGCATATTTGAAAAGCTATCAATGTTAAGAAAAAAAACACTCCAAAATTGGACATAAAAACTGTGATGAACCTTTAAAAATATGAACATTATTATTATTATTACACAAAATAAATAAAAAACTTACACAAATTAAATAAAATATTATATGTTATTACATAAATATCGTGGAATAAATACGAACTTTATAGCCTTGCAATGAATATCCACGGCACAGATAATGTCTTTACATATTATTGTACTTTTCATCCGATCAGTACTTTTATGAAAATTAATATCTATTGAATGCTCGATACGATAACTATAAATAATCATTTTTCAGTAATTATAATTGTTAATTTAAATTTTTTACAGATAACGCGCACGATTCTATTTAAGATCTCAACGTGATAAAGAGAATAGAAAGAGAAATAGATAGATAGATAGATAAATAAATAGAGAGAGAGAGAGAGAGAGAGAGGGAGAAATGTTTGGGCGATTGAGAAATCCGAAAACTCAAATCTGAATAGTTGTTATCGTTCTTTTATTTAATTATTTACCTGGCGATTCTGAATATTCCGCACATGTAATTAAAGTATTCTAATAAAATCGCTCCAATCGCGACTGCCGTTAATGCTCCTACGCAAAAAGCTGCATTCATGTGCAGCAAAAATAAATAGCGATACTTTTCCTTATCGACAAAGTACTCGGTCATAATTTGCATGGGGCGATGCATTCGTGATCCATTTATGAGCGTGGAAACAATGATGGCCCGCATCCATAATGGTTGGACAGCCATAATATATAAGATGAGAATCACTGAGAATGTTAAAAAAAAGTAATTACATGAAAATTCCTCTATTTAATTTGTCGAATTACTAAATTCCTTTGAATGTACCGGTTTTATATATTTTACAGTTTTATACTATATATATATATCAGTAATTATACTATTTCCTTGGTAGAATTTGTCAACTCTTATCTATCGGACGTTTGATTCTTGGATTGGCAATATCACAACAAACCGATTGTAATTATTCTAACTGATTCTTGCCTGGGCACCGTAGGTACCGCCTGTGGAAAATAACACGTCGCGTTCGGAATTTGTCAGCGGCATAGACGCATCGAAGATACCACATGTGAGAAGCTACTATCTGATCACTGTGCGACATTGATTCAAGCGCACTTAGCTAACGTAAATTGCCTAACGCAACGTTAGGCTGATATCGGTGACCAGTATTGCATCGACATTGATACGTAACATTGGGCCAATCTTATCATTAGGATATTCTGGCAATACTGGACCGAGAGTTGGGAGCCAACTATGGATACTACCCTTCTTTCTAAAACCATACATGGATTGTATACGAACTGTTTCTCTATCAAAAGTTATCGTATTCTGGTTTCTTCAATAAGTGTGGAGTAAAATGCTATGTTTTAGAAATATCATTGTATTAATAACATATATACTCTATTCGTCACATACGTTTCATTACACTTTTGTGTGCAAAATTTTGTCGATGAAAGTATCGTGCGCATTTATCTCAGGTCAATACGTGGTAAATAGGGGACGTAAGAGAATTCTAATCCACTTTTGGAATTTCTCAGGTTGACGTCATACCAATATGTATCATTAAATTTCTGCAGCGTTGATTGCAACTTAATTTACATAGAAACGTATATAGTAATTGAATCAATTTAGTCTTACGTGTAAGCATAATTGTAAAACGTTTCCCTTTGTATCCGTACTTTTCAATTATAGCGATTTCATTCTCATTCCGTAATTCAACAATAATTTGTTGAAACTCCTCCAATAAGTACTTCATCTGTTTTGCCAATAATATTTTACTCCTCCTTGTTACAAAGTTCCGAATGGTTGTGATGTTAGAAACTTCATTTCCAATGAGAACATTCACGTGCAATCGACGTAAAATCCACGTAACAAAGTCGATTCCACGTTGATTCTACAGATGTTCTCACGGGATTAATCGTAAACGTTTATTGGAAAACAAATACAAGAAATGCTCAACTTACTAATGTAATTTTATACAAGAACGCGTTGTACGAGGTTGTGTAGCCGATGAAAACAAATGCGTTTGTTAAAACTTTGATGACAAGATTGGGTGTGCATTTCGTAGTTACGAATGTTGTAAGCTGTAAGCGAGTTCAAGTTTATTGCTAAATGTGTTTTTAAAAAATGATATCTTTATTACAATATAGTAAATTACAATTCTGAAATAACTAGAGCATTGCTCTCCTACACGTAAGAATAGAAATGTACAGTTATGATATAGCAGAAATTTTTTTATACAGGATGTTTGACACAAGCCGTACCATCTGACAGACATCAGTACATTGAATCTTGAACCTCAGATCATGAACCTGTCGCCAAGTTCACAACAACTATATTTAAACATATACTTGTAGATTATAAACCATCCGGAATAAAAAGAACTTTTACCACTTAATAAGTAATGTGCAAATTTTTAAATTATTAATTAAAGCTTTTATACATGGCCATTTGCAATAATTAATAACTCGAAATTTTGCGTACTTGTTTGCAAAGTAGTAGATAACTTTTTTGTTCACATTGACCTAAACTATAAATATATGACGGATGACACGGCTTGCGTCAGCATCCTGTACATGCATATTATATTATGCCTTTTTTTAAATAATATGATTTTTAACATAATATGATTATATATAATTATTAAAAATGTAAAATATCATATCAAAATTATGCTGTAGTAAACATTAGATACAAACAATACCCATACAGTTGTTTATTATACTTACGTAATGATATAATTAAAGTGATTCTTTTACCTGAAATATGACAAAGCTGGATAAAATGCTGAAGATAAAGATCTGCTGAAGTCGTACAATTTTTTGTTGCTGATAAGGCCACAAGCCGACCAAGAGCAAAAGAATCCGATTGACGTTAAAGTGCTGGTATCGATCGAGGCAGGTCATTTCTACATGAGCACTGAGTCACGTCTACACGCGGAAAAGTCTGCGAAGGGTGCGCTTATCCCTCTTTTTCGTGTCGATAATAAAATTATACCGACATCACTCTTTCTTTGCATATATTTTAACGAAAACTCTCTAATTTCACGTAAATGCAGTATAATAGAGAAAATGCGAAATATATCACCGTGAATGAACCATTATGGAAATATCGTGAAATAATACCATGGAACCAGCACATTTACAATTTAACAATTTTGCCAAGAAAAGAGTCGGCAGTTCAGTCATCGATTTGACGCTGAATGAAATTACATGGACATTTATTTTTCATCAACTGACAATCGTGACAATTTCCCGATTGGAGACTGCGCAAGCGTAATGTCCCTTTCCTCGGTTCTGTTGTCTCGCGCGTCTCATTGTTGCGTATGCGCTCGTAAGAGACACAAGTTTGACCATTGTGAGAAACGTCGGTCGGTACGTCCTGCTGTAATCTGTAGAAAATCAATTATATTGTATCTCTTAAGAAAATTTTATACTATATTAATTAAATCCGAATTGAATAATCGCTACACACACACACACACACACGCGCGCGCGCGCGCGCGCGCACACACACACACACACACACACACACACACACACACACACACACACATATATAGAGAGAGAGAGAGAGAGGAAGAGAGACGATACGTGCGAAATAACGCATTATATAATAATATTAAAAATATATTCGTTATACCTGAAATGTGATGAAGCTCGCCAAAATGCTGAGGATCACGATTTTTTGGAAATGAGCAAATTTCGATCGCTGATACGGCCATAAACCGATAGCAAGCAAGAAAATCCGATTGATGTTGAAATTCTCATATGGATCATAGATCATTTCCTCTCGAATTTTGAGATGCATTTGTACATAAAGATGTAAGTGAAATTTCGCTCATTTCCTCTCTCAATCGATACGGCATATCATTGTTTTCATTTTTTCCAATGTTGCTTAGTATAAATTGCAATTTCGTGGAGAAATACGTGAAACACTACCATGAAATTGGGACATTCGCGATTTAACATTATTGTCGGGTAATATATTAACGATTAAGCGATCGATGAGACACCTAAAGAAATTGAACAGATATTCTCATTAGACGGTGTACTTCTCTTCGCGAATTTTGCGCAGACGCTTCAGTCCACTGCATGCTTTCGTAAAGTACACACGTCTGAATTTGGACGGGACGATCGATCAGCCGGTTGATATTGTGTGTTACTGTATCAGCAAAGGGATCATCTCTGGTGATGTACTATAGATTGTAACCAGAAGCTTCGCCGAAACTTTCTTTAAAAGTTATTTTTTTTAATGTTTCTGAATCTCACATTTCATCGTCCAGACAACGAAACTCGGAATCTGACTCAAATATGTGATTCATATGTCATTTAGTATGTGATTAATATGTCATTTAGTAACAAAGGTGCTGTTAGGTCCTCCACTGTTTTTATTATTCTCTAGAGAATCGTAATTACAAAATTCATGCTGTATAATTTGTTTTTAACAAAAAATTGACGCAGACGGAGAGTAACTTGCCGCGAATAATAACGTGAAAGCGGACAAACGTAATTGTTTTGAACCGTTAGTATCATAACTTATACTTTTCGACAAATGACAGATACTTGCGTGATCATTTCTGAGTCGAATACAGGACGGTAAAGTAGGATATCGACGTGCTAAATAACTGCAACGAAAAGTATAATATCTTTGTGTCGTTTCTACGAGAATGCTTGCTTTGTATGTGTACACATGGAAACAATATTGTTGTATCAATAGATTTGATTGATAGCATCTTAATTAAAATAAATCTATTGATTTAATAAGAACATCATCGAACTAACGTTTGAATTATTGAAATAATGTGTATGATGTCTATTATTCTATTATTAGTATTATGCTATTAAGATAGTTTCAATAATATTGTTATTGCATCTAGAAGATTTATTTTGACTTTTTCCCTCAAAGTTTTTGCGTAAGCGTGGATAAATACTTGATTTGGCTTCCGAATTAGCGCCATGTTCTTCAAGGATTTGTTTTTGACGTTTCGTGAACATTTCAATTCATTTCTCCAGGGAAAGATGCAACCCGAGGAAACAAATTCATGGAGGATATGGCGTTAACTAGGAAGTTAAATCAAAGATTTATTTTAATTATGGCGCTGTTGACTTATTGATACAGTACTTTTTTCTATATGTATATCTTAATATATATAAAAGATTTCCTACCGTCGAGAAATTTTCCAAGGATGCAATGAATAGTCCACCGATGTTCATGCTGCAGGTCTTGCTGCCTCTTTGCAACATGAACAATATTATTTTTTGTATGTGTAAAGGTGTTATGTACCATTGGATGTTGTATCTACAAAATAATGAGAAATTAATATAACGGGCAACATGTGTTATCGGAGCGTTATAGGCGTGCGTTCTTGTCCTTTCAAATCGATAATTTGATGAAGGCAAGGAGACGCGCCACTAGTATTGTTGCATGTCGCATTTTGCAGACATCTCTTACATGGTTAGGAACACATGATTACTATGATCCATCATTTCCTGCCCGAAATAGTTACCCAACAGCATATACATGAAAATAGCAATTGAGTATATACAGTGTAATAAAAATTCCTCTGTGTTACCGCCGAATGACACAATTTGAAAAATCTGAGACAATTTGAAAGATCTGAGAGGTGACGATTTTAATACGCACAGCTGACAATTAAACGTGCACACAAATGCATTTTATGTAAACAAAATTTATTTCACATACAAATTAAGAGATAAAAAAAATTAATAAGAGAATAATCCACATGCAGCATTTTTTTTTCTTTTCTGAAATTGTGCTACACTATAATTAATACAATTTCAGATACGAATCTTTCATTATTTTCATGCATGGTATTTATGTGTGCGCTTGCGTGCGTGCGTACGTGTGTGTGTGTGTGTGTGTGTGTGTGTGTGTGTGTGTGTGTGTGTGTGTGTGTGTGTGTGTGTGTGTGTGTGTGTGTGTGTGTGTGTGTGTGTGTGTGTGTGTGTGTGTGTGTGTGTGTGTGTGTGTGTGTGTGTGTGTGTGTGTGTGTGTGTGTGTGTGTGTGTGTGTGTGTGTGTGTGTGTGTGTGTGTGTGTGTGTGTGTGTGTGTGTGTGTGTGTGTGTGTGTGTGTGTGTGTGTGTGTGTGTGTGTGTGTGTGTGTGTGTGTGTGTGTGTGTGTGTGTGTGTGTGTGTGTGTGTGTGTGTGTGTGTGTGTGTGTGTGTGTGTGTGTGTGTGTGTGTGTGTGTGTGTGTGTGTGTGTGTGTGTGTGTGTGTGTGTGTGTGTGTGTGTGTGTGTGTGTGTGTGTGTGTGTGTGTGTGTGTGTGTGTGTGTGTGTGTGTGTGTGTGTGTGTGTGTGTGTGTGTGTGTGTGTGTGTGTGTGTGTGTGTGTGTGTGTGTGTGTGTGTGTGTGTGTGTGTGTGTGTGTGTGTGTGTGTGTGTGTGTGTGTGTGTGTGTGTGTGTGTGTGTGTGTGTGTGTGTGTGTGTGTGTGTGTGTGTGTGTGTGTGTGTGTGTGTGTGTGTGTGTGTGTGTGTGTGTGTGATATATTAAAGATATTTTAAATATTACATATGTAATGATATCTTGTTCATATTTGATAGTACACATGGGATGAATCAATGACTCACACGAAATAGATTGCAACTCAAACAGATTACACCGAATAATATTAAAAACATGAATAGTCCTTCGAAGCCGGATATCAAAGATTCGGAAAATCTAAAAGAATGGGATAAAAAATTATTATGAGCATCGTATTATTATCTAAGTACCAACTTCATAGCCTTTCGATGAATGTCCACTGCGCAAATTATTTCCTTATAAATTGTTGTCTCATTCTTCACACTTATTTTTCGTGTAATGTCGTTTGGTAATGCTTGCTCGATACGATAACTGCAAACAATTATTCGTTATAATTATATAGTCTCTTTTTAAACTTCTTCAAGGTGATGATGATGATCCATCAAATACAATTTTCTATATTTTGTGTATAAAAGTAAGCACAAAATATTCTTGTATTCATATTTTTATCGTCATTTTTTTTACTCTTCACCTGGCGATTCTGAACATGCCACAAATATGTTTCATATACGCCATCAACATCGTTCCCGTCGCGATTACCACCGCAGTTCCTACGCAACAGGATGCGTCCATATGTAGCAGAATTAAATAAAAATATTTATCAGGGTCGACGAAGTATTCGGTTATGATTTGTGTCGTGCGACGCGCCTTCGATTCATTCGCAGATCTGACGATGTTGAGAATGCGTGGCCAAATTGGCATAGAAAGAAGGGCGAATATGCAGCTAGCGCTGAACCCTTTAAGAATGTTCAAAAGAAGTAACCGTATTGTTCGCTACTTTTATATATTGGCAAAATATTGAACGCTTATTCGCTTTATATTTATGCTTATTGATTATTACTTATTTATTTCAAGTTATTAAAATTGAATAAATAAACAATAAAATAATTTATGTTAAGGACAAAATTTTAGTGGACTGTTCTTAACATAATATTTTTTTACTATTTATAAGTATTTAACCGAGTTTGAATCACGTTGTCTCTTACACGTAAGTACAACTGTGTAAAACTTTGCTCTGCTTCCGTACTTCTTTATGATGGTGAATTCGTTTTCGTCTCTTAGTTCATTACATATCCGTTGAAGTTGTTCTATTAGATATCCTATCTGCCGCATCAATGACACAATGTATGCCGTTTCGTATCGGGAAGTTCAAAAAGAAATCGCCGAGTAGGAACCTATTTATCGAAATTATTTACATTGCGACTGGTATATAATTATTGTTCGACTTACGGTTTGGCTATTCGCCCAGAAGCAGTTGTACTCAACTACAAATATAAAGAAAAATATCGCGGAGGAAAAAATTCTGATGACAAGCTCAGGTGTACATTCCATGGTTATGAACGATGTGAGCTGCAATCAATTGAGAAATTAAAAACATATTAAATTATACGTGCACAATTTATTGCATTCCTACACGGATTTGAGTGATTGAGTGAGTGAGTGAGTGAGTGAGTGAGTGAGAGAGAGAAAGAGAAAGAAAGAGAGAGAGAAGGTGTATAAAAATATATTTATAATTATAATATTTTAAGTCACAGTCACATAGAAGATTTGGTTCAACTTGGGAATTGAAGAGCCCCGCGCGTTTCTTATGGAAAAGTGACCACAGTCAAATTGCTCCGTTCTGAGATATCGTTTTTATGAATTTGAAAAAATGTTTCCATTGTCACAATCACAAAAAATCAAAGGATAAAGAAATATGAAGATTTGAAGTCATAGAATCTAAATGTCAACATATCTCAGAACAATACAATCTGACTGGACTCACTTTTCCATAAGAAATGTGCAAGGTTTTCATCTTGATTGCATTTGATGGAAACAAATTGTTTACCAGCATTCTGACAGTTTTTATAAGGTTATATCATAGAAGGCGGTCAGTTTGCAATTGAAGAAGACAGAAAATTGAACAGATCTTTTTTTTTACCAACGCAATAATTTAAGTTTATTATGTATTATATTGTTAGTGAAGTTAATCTGCTATAAAAATATGCATAAAAATTCAATATTGAATGATTGAAATAAATATATTCGTCAGAACTTAAAGCAACTGCGAGTAGTAATGACAAGCGACTTATCATGTGACGAAAACTGAAAATATTAATTTACTTGAAACACAACGAAGCTTATCAGAATGGCTGAGACGGAGAACAGTTGCAGCGTAACAAGTTTCGATCGCTGATACGGCCATAAGCCAATCGAGAGCAAGAGCATTCGGTTCAGACTGAAGTGTTCAGTTTCGATGCAGATCATCTTGATATGAACGCCGAATTCCATTTGCCAGCGGAGGGGCGAAAAGACCTCGCTTACTCCCTTCTGCCGACCGATCGATCGAACGTAGTTCAGCGGAAATTGCACCGTGAATTACTTAATTTGACATAATAGCAACACAAGGTGCTACGAAATACCGCACATATATTTTATAGAGGAAAAATAGATCGGCAATTGGACGGTCGATTTTGCACGGAAAAAATTTCAATTTACGTTTATTTCCCAGTAGAAAAATATTCAGGAGAATATAATATTTGATGATCGCTAGTTGCGCATGTGCAGTTATCACTGTCGAGCGACATGTTTTCTTTCATGCAATGCGCATTCTGGTGTGTGCATTCGTAGGTTACAGTCGAACCTTCGGTAAAGTATTATTTGGCCTCAAACTCTAGTCATTCAATTCATTGTAGGTAAGAAACAAAATATACATCTCAAATTGCGTTAGAATTATTTTTACTTCCTACTTTCATTCTTAGCATGGATTTCCATAATTTTCTCCGCAGGAATTAAGTAAGTCGACAAATCTCTCTTTCGCAATTTGATGATTTTAGGATTGATATAATTGAACAAGAATAAAATATGTGTTATTATGTGTACTACATCTGCCTCACTGAATATATACTTCGACGATTTATGATGAATGCTTATAGTGTAAATTATTTTCTCACATATTACTATTCATATTATTACTCATCTTTGTGATATGGAATGGTAAGATATCATTCTTTATGGCTTAGTTCATACGATAAATATAAATAATATATTTTTGTTATAATATATTTTGTTAAAAATTTCATTCCATAAAAAATATTTTTTTTACGTAAAAATATAATCATATAACGTCTCGCGCTGTAGGCATGACTTTTTTTATGACAGCGACTTCATTTTCATCTTTTAGTTTATCACAGATTTATTATAGTTCTTTTAATAAAAATATTTTAATAGAAAATACGTCATTTCCCTTTCTTAACGTATGTGCTAAAGAAAATTCTTTAATTTTACATGAATGCACCGTAGTAAAGAAAGTGTGAAATATCACTATCGGTCGATCGAAACATCATGGAATGATTCTGCGAGACCGGCATATTCAAAATTTAACAATTTGCTAAGAAATGAAAACAAAATTTAACAATTTTGTTGAGAAAGGAGTCTGCGGTTCAGCTATCGACTTGACGCCGAAAATTACTTGGACTTTTATTTTCCATGAACTAACAATCGTGACATGATTTCTCGATTGAAAACCACGCAAACGTGATTGCTTCTTTCTTGGCTCTGTCTTCTCGTATGTCTCATTATAGCGTATGTGTTCGTAAGGGACATGCGTTTGACGTTTGTGAGAAACATCGGTCGATCGGTCGGACTTGTTCTTTTGTCATCTGTGGAAAATAATTACAAGTGAAGTATAAAGTATCGTACGTTGTTGTTACAAATGAAGTATAAAGTACCGCACGTTGTTATAACTTCCGTTCCCTTTAAAAATACGAATTCAGACTTCGCGATTTTGCATATTTGTGTCGTGTTAAAGTATTAATACGTTTGAAGATATTTTATACGTTTACCTTTTACCGTAGGAATCATCTTTACCGTGTTTCACGATAACAGCCGTCTCTTGGATAAAAATATTTTCAAACAATATGTTTTCTTCATCGGACAATCCGAAGACAAGTGCTTTCCTCATTTTGTTACGACTTAACGTAATGAGAAGTTACTCGAGCTATCAGGCGTTACGTTGTTTATACTACTGATATATATATATATATATATATTAGTATATATGTATATATATATATATATTTATATTTATTTATTTATTTATTTATATTTATTTATTTATACATATATGTATATATATATGAAATTACATGTACTTCTATTTTTCATAAACTAACAATCGTGACATGTTTTTTTGATTGAAAATTGCATGCAAGCGTGGATCTCCCTTTCTCGGCTCTGTCGTCTTGTGTGTCTCATTATAGTGCATGCCTTCGCAAGAGACACACGTTTGACCATTGTGAGAAACGTCAGTCGATTGGTCGGACTTGTCCTTTTGTCACCTGTGGAAAATAACAGCAGATGAAGTATGAAGTGCCGCATGTTGTTATAATTTCCGCTTTGATTGAAAATATAAAGTCGGACTTCGTGATTTCGCATTTGTATCGTATTAAAGTGCTAATATATTTGAAGATATTTTATACGTTCATCTTTCACGATAACAGCCGTCTTTTCCAGTAGAGGTACTTTCAGACGATGTGTTCTTTTCACTCGGCAATCTGAAGGCGAGCGTTACCCTCATTTTGTTATGACTCTACGTAATGAGACTTTAGTCTAGACATCAGGCGACGCGTTGTTTATGCTCTTGAGATGTACGATATACTACATTTACAGTACGATATTTTAATGTAGAAAGTGGATATTTGCTAATTATACATAATGTCCTATATTACTTTCCTCAGACAAATTACACAAGAACAACGCATTTTAGAAGAATGATAAACATAAAACTTCCAGAATTTCAAGGGAGTGTGAATGTAATGATATTAGTTGAATTTCAGATATGAATGCGTCAAAATTATATCAAGGCCACTTTGAATTTTTCAAATGAAATCATGATTTTCTTTAACATAAACCGATTTTTCTAGTCATCCTTTATATGAAATTATTGGGCTAAGATTATCGGAAAGTGAATACTTTCCAAGATATTTTACATTTTATCTTCATATTTTTCAATATAATATATGAAATACTGCATTAGGTATTCATTTTTCGATCATTTTACTTTAACACTTTTATACATAAAAAGACGAGAAAAATCAATTAATGACACTAATAGTTGCACATTAGTATACCAATATATGTGCAAAATACAACGAATTTCTTTACGGTTTTTCTAT